GGATATAGCTCGCTAGCAGCCTCGCACCGAGGACCTATCCACGTCATCATTTACCCAGAATGCTTTGTGTGTAAATAAAATGGCCATGTCTGTGTAATATATTTTAAAAGTTTTAGTTTAAAAATGATAAAAACTAAACAGCCTACAGTATTTTTACAGTCTTTATTTTACAGTTAAAATAAATGTTTATCAAATAAAGCCTAATGTTACAACTAATCGGGGATCCCTTTAACATCCCAAACTCATTATCTTAGTGAAGGGGCTGAGCGTCTAATAGAAATAAATGATAAAAGCACTAAAAGTCACTTCAGTTGCTCTTTTCAACAACATAGAGTGTATAAATTATGCTTGTACATGAAAGCAGGGAACGAAGCAATGATGAATGAATAGATTTTGATGTACAATAAACCCCAAGAAAAGAAGGTAAAGATTTCCCAAAGGCTGTAACAGGCCTCTTCATGCAGAAAGGGCAACATCTTTTATCTAAAAGTATTGCATTAATAATACCGCCATATCTAAAGAGGCTCATCCAATCCTCATTACCACTGCAATCCCCAGACAATAGCCCCAAGAATATGAATAGTGAGGAGAAGTAATTAAGACTGTTTTTGAAAGCAAACAAAAGGAGCAGGCCAGAAAGATAATCAATATTCAAATTTATTGCTATCATTTAATTTGACACAACAGAGTGGCTCACTGGCTAAGCTGGAGGACAAAATGCTTTCAAATTAAATGGAAGGATATGTCCCCGTGGGCAGCAACAATGAAGAAAGAAGAAAAGACACATTTTTACTCACAGGCTTTAGTGTCTTCACAGGGGATGTCTGACCTATGGTTTGACAAAGACAGACAACGAGAATATTGTTAGAAATGATGGTCGGCGACGTTTGGAAATTAAAAACTGTCAACGAAGCATCGTCCAGCAGATGGAGCTGTCTCTCCGACTACGAGACAACACAGGTAAACATTAAAACTAAACCAGGAGCTGCTCAAAACTCACTAAAGGTGGCTCCATTAGGAAATACTCATCCATCCATGAGATTAAAGATACATATAGAAGTGCACACTGATTGTAGGGAGAAGAAAGCAGGTGAGCGTTGTACCTCCATGACTGATACATCCCTTTGAGCTCTCTGTTCACTGTACAGTACACACACGTTTCATCTCAAGCACTCACCATCCCTCCCCCCCACATTCCTCAACCCCCCCCTACTTTAATTGAATTAGCAAATACTCCTCTGGAGCTAACGGCCCTCTGGGCTTGGACCAACACTTGGCTTGACAAGAGGCTAATGGAGCCTGCAAAAAGAGAGACATGGAGAAAGTTTTCATGCTTTACTGTCAGCTTCATAAGCTGATGCCACCAAGGACTTACCTGAAACACACACAGTCACACCCCCTTTCCCCTATAAATAACTGTTTTCGCCTTTTGCCTTAAAAGCATATAAATGCATATGCAAATAGGAAGCCTCCTCCAAGCCGTCTAATTAGCGGTTAAATCTGGCATTAGATCTTTGGTTGTGCTTCAAAAGTGGAATCGTGCAGTATGCCAGTGGAGCAGTACACAGCGATGATGGCACAGCAGTAAATGTGAGTAGTGTGGGTGTTTGGGCAATGAGGGAAGACGGTTCAGGCGTGGCCAGGGGAAGGAAGCCCCAGAGGAGCGTCCCTTTATGGCTGTTTAACCATGGCTCTTTCAGAGGCCACGGATAAAGAGGCATGCAGAAATCCCCCCGCGCTCTACTGATGATCAAAGCCAATCTGGGGTTCATCGACTTGCACAGTGAGACCCTCGGGCAGCCAAAGATGGAAGAAGGAGACATTTGAAGGGTGCCTTCCCTCCTTCCTCCGCTCCTTGGAATCGAGCACATCCCCACACTTATGTAATTCTGTCTCATACTTGTAACAGAGAGCACTATGCCTCATTGGGAGCTGTCATAAACAGAGGTGATTTGGGTGGAGGCGCAGAAGGGGAACGCTCGGGAAATGCTTGGGATGTGCTGTTCGCTTTTATTAAAAAAAGCTGCAAGTGTTGGCAGGACATGAAGCTCTTACAAACTGGATCTGATCATCAACTGCAGCAGCTACAGGATGTGTTCAGCTAAAAAAAAACACAACAGTTTTGTTTTCCTGGTGATTTCACACAGACTGCAGACACAGTGACATTGTTACTCGGTGCTTCTAATCCAGCCAGAACACCACCTCACCTAATATCAATATCAGCACTCTGACCTCACCAGCAATGGACACTGCTGAAAATGCATTCACAGTAACAGAACATTATGAAAAACACATGAGGGTGTAACATTATGAGAACAACAAATGCATTCAATGACATGAAAAAGAACAACCGACAAGAAAAAAACAACATAGACATCAGTGGTGGGCAGCACTCAACCAAATATTAGTTGCACTAACCCTAAAGCACCAACTCAAATATTTAGGTCCCCCAATTCTAAAGCACTAATGCACTGAAAATTTTTGCAAAAGCTAATTCTAAAGCAGGGCGTCTCAAGCCGTTTGGGTCTGGGGACCCCTTATAAGGGCAAAAAACATTCCAGGGACCCCCTTATATACCACATGCTGTTTTAAAAGATAATTTATTGTAATTTCAACCCCTAAATGCCATGGAAATATACTGTATATACTGTATATACATTTAAGTTTATTATGTTTGTTTTATTAGTTCATTGTTCTTCATGCATTTTTAAAAGTAAAAACAAAATTAACAAAGTGAAATTTTTTGAGGACCCCCAAGATACATCTCGCGGACCCCTGGGGGTCCTGGAACCCTAGTTTGAGAACCTCTGTTCTAAAGCACTAATATAATCCAGCTGACACATGAAACATTCTTCAGTCAACATGAGACAATATTTACTGTGCGCAGAATGTTATCACTTAGCTTGGTGGGCCAAATGAGAGTCACCCGCAGGCCACATTTGGCCCATGGGCCCCGAATTTGACACGTGACCTTGTAGATAGAAGCATACGAACAAAATGTGTGACAGGTTTCACCTTCAACTGTGAACAATAAAGTTGATCAATAACATTTAAAGACCTCAGTTAGTGCTTTTAAATTAAGCCCATAAATTCAGCAAGCGCTAATCCACTAATGAATTAAAAAATTAGCAAAGGCCCTAAAGCACTAATCAGGGAATTAGTTCCCCCTATTAGTGCTTTAGTGGAACTGTGCCCACCACTGATAGACATAAAGTGAAATGGGTCATTGTTTCAGTGAGGTTTAAAGGCACAGTGTGTAGGATTTTGTCAATTCTTTTAGCCGAAATTGAGATAATCACTAATGACAATAATAAAAAAACATGTCTAATCATTGCAGACAAAGACCTTGTTTTATTATTTTTACCTTATAAAAAGCTGTTTATATCCATGGTCGCGGGTCGCCACTACAGGCAGCCGCCATCTTGCACTGCCATCTTGTCAACGAAGGCTCATGAAGGACAAACTGCGGTGGCGGCGTCAAAAACGGTTTTAGTTGTAATACTAAAAATGTAAAATTTGTTGTCTGTCATTGTAGCTGGGATAATTTTACTTATTAAAGCTCATAATCTTACCACTTGAAACATCACTAGCCCTGAAGCTGCTGGTAGACATCGCGGTTGGAATTATCAAAGGTTTTTGACACCWGAGAGACACCGTAGCAACTCCTTTGCGTTTGGAAGCGGGGGGTGGGGGTTGGGGGAGGACCAGGGAGGATGATTCAACCACTCAACCACTAGATGTCGCTGAAAACAACCAATCCTACACACTGTGCCTTTTAGGGTCCCAACAAATCCACTGCACATAAAGGTGAATATACAGACAGACAGAGGGTTGTGTTGTTGCTCTAGTCTCACCTCCTCTCAGAACTAGCAGATTGACCTCACTGCCAACCGGGAAGTCCTTGAGGATGTCAACCACTTGCGCGTGGCTAAGTGTTTGCACATTTTGCCTGTTGATCTCCTTAATCACGTCTCCCTTTTGTAGTCCACGGCACCACTGGGCATCCAGGATCATCTTCACTTTCTGGCCCAGGGGACAGTCAGCGATGGCAAACCCAAACCCTCCAGGCCCCTTGACCAGCGGCACACTCACCAGCTCCGGCTGAAGAAGTCCCGAGGGCCCCTCGCCCCTCTCGGGCTGCCTCCCGTTCGGCAAGGCAGCAACGACGGGCCTGCCGCTGGCGTCGGTGGTAACATAGTGGAGCTCCTGCGACGAGCCGTGGAGGACGTCGCCTTTCACCAGCAGCGGCTGCCCGTTGATGAGGGGAACGGCCGTCACCACTTCTCCACCGTGCAGCGCCTGCTGAGGCTGAGATGCCGGGGGAGGAGGAGGAGGGGGAAGCGGGTCGTCACTGTCTGCGTCCACGTCAGGGGGGAGTGGGTAACCGCGACAGAGAACCAAGTCCACATATTGGTTGATGGGAATAGACTGAAACATCTTCACCACCTCCGGATGAGTCTTCCCGAGCACACATGTCCCATTGATTTCAACAATCACGTCACCTATGGAGGAAAGCAGCAAGTCACCAGAGGAAATTTTTCTTCAGATAGTCCATCTAGACACCTCTTTTCATCATTTCTTTAAAAATTCCTTCTTGTTTCTTTGAAATCTTCCTCTTCTTTTATTTTCCTCTGCACACCTTGGCACAAAGACAGCTCAGTGTGTCACAAGTATGATAAAAGACTGTGTGCTAAAGGAAAACAAAAATGTTTTTGACAGTCTTATATTTGCTTTCTTTGTCTTAATAAACCCACAGAATAGTGTTAGGTCAAACGAGCACCACAGAGGTAGGATTATTGCCTCTAGGTGTATCACACATTTAGTATAACACAAATAATTTGATGTAATACTACAGGAATTCAGTTAGAATTACACGGATCTTCATGTTGACTTAATGAGATTCAAATCCTTGTTAGGAAATTTTACTCACCGGATGCCATCTTGTTGTCCTGGGCAGCAGGGCCATCACTGAGCACATTCTTTACCTGCAGGAACTCGTCTGTGCGGTCACCTCCTATGATGGTAAATCCAAAACCCTGGGCGCTTTTTTTCAGGGCGGTGTGGTACATCTCTCCCTTCAGCTGGTTGGGGTCTGCAGTGAAGCCAAGTGACCCTCCTTTACCTGGGCAAAAAGTGGACATTTCAACACTTCTGCATTTAAATGTGAGATCTCAAAATACTGCATGAGGTTGCACATAATGTCTTCTGCAATGTTTGACCAAATTGGATATAGTGTTTTCATTTTTCAGTCAAAGGAAGACCCTAGTTTAAAACTCTGGCATGAAAGGTGGCAGGTGACATGCATTTTTTTACGGAACACTGCACTGTGCTTTTGTGTGTGTGTGTGTGTGTGTGTGTGTGTGTGTGTGTGTGTGTGTGTGTGTGTGTGTGTGTGTGTGTGTGTGTGTGTAGAACGGCATTTATATATTAGAAAATGTGAGTAATTATAGGCTTTTGGACAAACAATACACCACATCAAACCCAACACCAAAAATGAACAATATGACATCCCTCTTGAAAGCCGTAAAATCTAAACCTGTCTGTGCCAAACCTTAATTATACACATTATGAGCTAAAAATCAACATATTAATTAGTGATTTTCTAATTACCAGACACAATTTATATTTAAACTCTATAAACCTGTCACTGCACACCCTTTGGCATGGACGTGTTGGGAAGAGAGTCAACAGATAATCAGATAAAATTATAAAATTACAGCTTTTGATTCCCTCACTTTATTACAAAACTACAGAGCAGAACAGTCATGCATCACCTCTATCTTATTTAGCCTATATATATATATATATATATATATATATATATATATTTGGAGCATTATGGAGCAGCAGCTTGGCTGTGACATTAGCAGTACAGAAGATAACCAGCATCCAGGGTCGCACTGCATTTAACTGAGGACCTTCCTTATCCGGCAGTCCTGTGGTATCAGCACTTTAGATCATGAACACAGACTTTTTGTTTCAGCTCAGCTGCCTGATGGTCTGTGGCCTGGCCTACGTTATTACTGTGACTCGAGAATGGTAAAAACTAAAAGAAGCCCGTGATGTGCTGTGAGCAGTCCTGCAACTATGCTTTTTGTTAAGGACTGCGCTGTCAGTTAGATTGGTCATTGATAAAAGTCCAGGCATGCTAACAAAAGACACACTTATGCATATGATGTAAAAAAATACGTTAAATATCAGTGTCATGCTCATGAAGGGCTTGTTAGACGTAGTTTACATTTTTGCACTGATAGCATTACTTACTCTGTCTTAAGCTCTATTTTTTCTGGTAAAGATTTAAGCTTTTATAAACGTAATGATCACAGAGGCTAAAGCATTGGCCTGAACAAATATGCAATAAAATTATCTAAAAATGATAAAGTAGAATAGATATTGCATTTTTTTCCCTCTCTCTCTTTTGGGGTACCTCAGAGTTTTATTCTGGGACCTATCTTATTTCTCCTCAACTTTCTTACTTTAGGACTAATAATATGATAATTTATGAATGTTTTCAGTCATTTATTTGCTGATGATATTTAGCTTTACTGCTCATTTAAGTCATCTAAATATCACAAGCTGTTGTCCTTGATAAAATGCCCAGCCAGCATCAAACAGAGACTTTGTGATGACTACTTGCAGCTGAACTCATGAAAGACTGAAACTCTAACTATTGCACCTGAAAGACAAATTTACGAAACAAGGCAGGACCTTGGTGCATTGAACACATTAGTGCAGCTAAGTTTTAGAAACAATGGTTTTATCTGTAAGGACCTGTACACCTGTTCCCCATGTTTTTGTCATGTGTGTGTCTTCTTGAATGGGTGTTCTTAAATGTAATTTCATTGTGCTCTGTACAATGACAATAAAGGCATAATCAACCAACCAACCAACCAACCAACCAACCAACCAACCAACCAACCAACCAACCAACCAACCAACCAACCAACCAACCAACCTTTGATTATGTTGTCTTAGTGTCACTCTAGATAATCTGTAACAAACAGTTTCTTCTCTTTGCAAAACAAATAGTGAAAATCTGAATTAAGAATTATTATTTGCACATTTATTTCTTCTCATTTTGACTACTTTAACAGCCTTTTTCTTTGTTTAAATAGGAAGGAGCTTGACCCTCTAAAATCATTTTTGAAGACTTTTAACATCAACTGCTTTTATTTCACCTGCAACCAGCTGCTGGTCTACGGAAACAGAAAGCTGCAAATTCCATTTAGTTCCAGTTTATCTCCGCCTGTGACCTGCATGCACAGTTGCCTCAAACTGCAAAGTGTATTCTCATGTTTAGTTTTTTTTTTGACACAGCAACACCTTCTTATTTTGGCTGGTAAATAAAAACTCTACACTTCCCTTCCCAATCTCTTAGTTTCATAAACAGTCGGTAACTTTCGGAGCGTGATGAGAATTTAAATGCAGGCACTCTCAAAATCTCATATGGTTCAGCAGCCATAAACATCCACCACCGAACGGCTGAGAGTGTAAATTATCACAGTCGGTGTGGACTCCAGATGTCCACATTTTTGTATGGATCAAGTGAAGCTTATTTACATAATTATATTCAAATTGCTTGATAAACTCAACATGGATTTTGTTCTCCCCCCCTCCCTCCAGTGAGTGCTCAATTAACAGACAGCACATTTGTACGGAAAGAAAAAATAAACGGAGGTGAAGGAGGGGGAGGGAGAAGGAGATGTGGCTCGTGCACGCCTGAACTTGCGTAGGAAAGCCCAAAGGAGTTCTCTGAGGTTCTGTTTTGAAGGAGATTTAGAAATTCAGAGGTAAACAAAGTGGCATCCGACAGATCTAGCATGGATTTAGACTTCCCCTGTGTGACTAAAGTACAGAGTTAAGAGCTCTGAACCAAGCACTAATAGTATGTCAGCTACTACCACATCAAACCTCAGCTCAGAAGGTATAAAATTCAAAGAGGAACAGCTGTTTTTATATATGCTACGGTTTATTATCTGTGGTAGCCATCTTGAATTGACTCCAAAAGTTCATCTGTTATAAATGTTCGTCCAAGGATTGTTTTATTATCATGATACTTTTCTAATGGTCTTATTATTTAAAGGGTCTTTAAAAAAATCAATGCTTTTCATTCCACGCAAACCTCCCTGGGAATCTAATACCTCAGAAAAAAAAGAGTAAAAGTCTGCATTTCCGCCTGAGGTGTAACTGCCGACTGCTGCTGCTTTGGTTTCATCATTGTGACTGTCTGACAGCTCAGTAGGTTGTGTAATCAGTAATCAGCAGTGAGATGGCGGTTCACTCAGTCCCCACACACCTGAGCAGAGAGATGTCTGATTATGCTTCGCCTCTTTAACGGGATGTTTCACCAGATGTTGAAACACGCGCCGTTAAAAGGCTTCCGCCTCCCCGGCGTCCCTGCATTCAGCCTCCTGAATCCCTGCCAGCACGCTGCAGCGCTGTTATCCATCCATTATAACGAAAACCTACTTAACTTATCATGTTTATTGCAGAAGAAAGTAGATTGCCAACTTAAAAAATATAAGAAACAGACTGTGGCTGGAGAGTGACAAAAAATACGCATGATGTGAGCAAACCTGACGCGACTCACTGTGATGATCTGTTATTGTCTGAGGCGTCATGGAGGCTGAGATATTCTGCTGACCTAGCATAAAACCACAACGTTCTCTTGGATTTTTATTCCTGGAAAACATTTTTATCAAGGCAGGCTGACAGAGGGGGAGGGGTCAGGCTCTGAAAAAGAACTCAAGCCAAATTAATTAAATCGATCTCATATTTTAGTTAATCAACATTCTTCAGTGTGCAAGACGATAGAGAGTGAAAACATTTTAATAAGCTCACTGAAAATGATCCAAAATGACTTATTTTGCTCCTTAACACTGAGCAAAGCAGGGAAGAAAAGGAAATGCCCTTGTAAGCTTGTATTGAGGGCATTTATTGAAAAAAATACATTTTTTCTTACAACCTTTTATGTCTTATTATGAGAAATGATATAAACCTGTAAACAACGTGATGCACAATCTCATGCTCAGAACATGTACGGACTAAATCATAGGTAATTTTATGTTTTCTAAGGTCAGCAGTGTTGTATAAAGTACCTCAAAGTGATACTTGAGTAAAAGTACAAGTATCTTATCATAAAAACATTTTGGTAAAAGTTAAAGTCTTCTCTAAAAATGTTATTTGAGTAAAAGTTTTAAAGTATCCGATATTTTTTGTACTTGAGTCCATCCATCCATCCATTTTCTTCCGCCTATCCGGGGTCGGGTCACGGGGGCAGCAGTTCAGAAGGGAGGCCCAGACCTCCCTCTCCCCAGCCACTTCTTCCAGCTCCTCCGGGGGAACTCCAAGGCGTTCCCAGGCCAG